CGAAGTGCAACAAATCTATTTAAGTAACACAGATACATTGTACGATGCATTATGAATTAACTTTTTTTCTCTCTCTCGACAATACACATCATGTCTTTTCTCTCGTGCGTGTCCATCTTTCCACAATTTCATGGAACACAGACGTAACAATAGCCAGAGCTTCTCTAATTGTACCTGGAATCGGTTAGGACGCAAAAACTCACATGTCTTATTTACTCCGTTTCCTACAAATATCTCATGCATGGACGTCACGCCTCTTTTTCAGCCTCATTCAACTATTTACAAACGAAATGCTCCAATTGATCGACGGACAGTTTTGCTCTTCTCGCAATTAATTTTAAAAATTTAATAATTAATAAATTTAATTTAATAATCTAGTCAATTAGAGTTTGATAAATTGCAAAATATTAATTATTAATCCTTAACTAAATACATAATGCATTGTATGATTGGTGGATATATCTTGCCATACTTTATATTATTTTATTATATAATTATTATGTAATATAATATAATTATTATGTAATATAATATAATTATTATATAATTATTATATAATATAATAAATATAATATATAAGGATTATATATGTATAAATGCGAGTCTTGTCTGATTTTTTAAATAGGAAGAGAGTATTATATTAGAGATTCTCTTTCTTTCATTCTTTCTACATCATGTTTTAAACACGAAACGTTCGGACTTAATTAATATAATCAGATCAAAGTCCATCTTTGCACTATCGACGATGAATATGAAAAAAACTAACAGCTGTCTCTATTATCGCGCATTTCAAAAAGTTACATTATCATATACGCATTTTTTTCAATATATATATAGAGTGTGTTATCGGTATAAATTATTGATTACAAAAGTGAGTATTCAAAAAAAATCGGAATTGTATTGTACGTGTTTATGCAAGATGCTTTTTATTTTACTTTTTTTTTAATTTTATCAAAAATCTGAATAGAGCCTTTAATGTGTATACAAAACTTTTTTATGCGATAATTTTTAAAAATAAGAAAATGTATAAAAACAAGATTTATTTATTATTTTATTTGTAACGAAATCAAAATGTGTATAATTTTTTGTTATGCATACGATAATATATCAGAATATATAAGCATATTCTGATAGTACTATATGTATCTGTGTCATAAATTAATAAAAATTAATGGATGTTAAAATCACTAAATTTCTGTGAGTATCATCTTATGATGATTCATTCATAAAGTAATATTAATTATTAGTCGTCAGTGTCACCATGTAAACATTTCAGTTTATTGTGGACTTTTTTTTTTATTTCTTAGTAGACAACATCCAATACTTCCTATTTGACATTAAATGTCAATAGATGTAATAAAACACATCTTTCACAATCGCATCGAATCAAACGGCGAAAAATAAAACGGGTAACATCGAATGAATATAGCTGAGAATTATTCCGCATAATTTCATTTCCTTCTTGGACTGTCAATTACAACGCCTCCCTTATTTCTTTGGCGTATTAAAACTTTCCACAAAGTATCAGGGACCGATTTTATCTCGAGTCCCCCGCAGCGCGCGTCTTTATATAGATTTTTCACGTGGTATAATTCAGGTTAAAGTCCAACTCCCGCGATTAGTTTGTGCAACTTCATTTCCTTTCTGTCATCAATTTAAACGAATCTCCCGTAGCATTCGTGTTATACGTCGTAATCAAATGAATTCTGACTTCTACAAAATATCTCCGCTATTCTTTGCTCTGGTAAACCGTGTGTTTTCACATCGCGTCATTTTATGCGCGAGATTGCTCGGATCGATACGCAATTTACATTAATTTTGTTAATGGTATCATTAAATATAATAATAATAAAATAATAAAAAATATCATTTTTGCTTTATCAAATCTATGAAAAAATATCATGATAAATTAATTGGATCTAACATTAAATAATTTCAAACAAGAAAAACAATTAAATCCTTTCTATTTTTTATCATAATCTCTCAATAATGTAATTATGCATAAGCCAACAGACACTATTCCAAAAATAAATTTAATTGAGAATAAAAACTTAAACATATAATTATACTATTTTTCAGATAAAGTAATCATATTATATATTTTAGATAAACGAATTATTTAATTAAACGATAGAAATTTCTCTTTAAATAACGTACGGGTATATATACTAGTTTTATTACGTACACATATATAGTCATTATATAATATAGATAAATGATTCTTCAATGTGTCAACTTTGTGTTTTATTTAGCATAAGAATAAAAAGAGGTAATAAAACGCATAGTGAGACAAGACTGATAAATCAAATTTAAAATTTCTCATGCAGTTCTCCGAAACATGAATTGAAGGAATGCTTCATATAGATATGTGCATAAATGCACGCATTTCGGTTTTCACTATCACCACACGTGCGCGCGTAACGAAGAAGGCATAAAGGCGCGATATGAATAATGTAAACTTATGTAATATCCCGTGTCATCGGGAATGTTATAAATAGCCCTTGTAACGACCAATGCTGAGATCACACACAACAGTATCACGCATGTGTGCGCACACTTTGCTGTATCGTCAATCCGTGATCTAGGGTCATTCATGAAATGCATTTAATGTTCTTTTTTTTGACATAGTTGAACCATGTAACTAAGAAAATATTCTAAATTATGGAAACTATAAAGAGAAAAATGTGGTAGCGAGAGACATAATCTTTTGATCCTTTTGTGATTTCGATAAAATTGAGAAAGGAAACTAAAGAGGAAGGTATGAAAAAAATATTCATAAATTTTCCGAGTGTTTCAACAGTATATATCATTTTTCTGTGATATACTATTTGAAATAAAAAACAATTTAAATTATATACGTATATATTTGTGTGTATGTGTGTAAAAAAGAATAAGGAATTACGAAGTCGATTGAAGAAAAATAGGTTTAATTTTTGGGGTACATTATATATATAAAATTTTTGTTAAGGCTTTAATAATCGTTAGCTTCATCGTTTTATCGTACGATTAAACAATGGCCGGATGTTTCAGAGGAGATTCTCGAACTTCGACTTCATTCAAATTTTCACAGTGAATGGCATAATATTGTACTTGACCGTGTGAGAACGTACAAAAGGAATGAAAGGTTACAAGTCAAAGACCTAATAAAATATGGCAAAGCAAAGAAATGAATCGATCACTTTAATGACTATGATTGTGTCAACAATCAAGTATCGAAAAAATCGTCAAAAAATTATAAACATTAAAAATTGCTTATTATTTCGTGAGAAGGTACTATTGTTTCATGCGTAGTTATACGGATATTATTATATCAAATATATGTATTTAAAATTTTCTACTAAAATGTAAAATTCCTAATATCTAACAGGCGAATAATTAGTTAAATGTTAAATGTTTCATTCATAATAATTCATTTCAATAAAATTACAACCGAGTGCAAGTTAATGCTATGTAAAATGTCATCGATATATTTCATTGTTATCAAAAATGTTGAATTTACAATGATGTAAATTTAAAAGATAACGACAGACACGTCAGACGATTCAACGATTTCGTAGAACTATGAATACGCACTTACTTTGGTTATAAAAGAAATCGAAGAAAAGAGTAAGGAAGGAGAAAGAATGTAAAAGAGTGTGGGAAGATAAAATATAAGGAAAAGGACTCTCTCTTGAAGAAGAGAGGAAGAACAGAGAACGTGCATCGTTAAGGAGAATCAGCGGAAGATGACCACTTGCTGATTCTGCCAGTTCCAAGAATAACTATACATCGATATATAATAAATTTTAGACGACAAGCAAATTGCAAAAATATCATTAATCAGATGAACAAGTCGTATTAATCGTGCATTTATGAATAGGAGCGAAATATAAAGATACCTTCGACATTATCAATTTTTCACAAAAATTAAATCTTCAACCGCATTCTAAAAAGTCCTTTGCTTTTAATATTGTGAAACGTGAACAATTTTGTTGGAGCAAATTATGACGAAAAAAAGAACAGTCAGATGTGCATATAATTTCGATGAACAAAACGACACGTATGAATCGAAATGCAAATAAAACTGGAGAAAGCGAGAAAGGCGGGAAGAGAAAGAAGCGAGGCTCATCCTGAATAATGAAGAGTAAAAAAGCAACATGAGAAAGAAGAACGATAAAGCGTTACCTTGTGGAAGAGAACCGGTGAAGATTCGCCAGAGAGGAGAGCCTGTTTGTTGGCTCTCTCGATTCTAAGAATGAATCAAAGATGGTTTCGACAAAAGAACGCTTTCGTTGATAGTTTGATACTACGAAAAGAGGGCGATGATCTCTCGGCGCGAAACTCATTCAAGTATACACGACAAAGTGTGTGTTTATATTTCACTCCTTATATACGATTACGACTTGTTTATCTGATTAACAACATATTTTTGACAATTTATTTATTATCGAACAATTCATTAAATATCGATGTATGGTCATTCTTGGAACTGGCAAAACCAATCATCTTTTTGATCCCCCATAATCGCGTTCCTCCGAGAGAGTCTTTCCCTTCTGTTTTATTTTTCCTCATTCTTTCGTCAGTTCATTCTTTCTCTTCCATTCCTTATAACCAAAGTGACAAGTGACAAAGTACGAAACGATTACTCATCGATCATATCATTTTCTCAGACGTTGTATAATTTTAAAATCATTTTTAATATATATACGAGAAAAAACATTCTAATTAATATTTCTATGTATTTCTAATTTGTAGCATAATTTCGACGAAATGATTTTGCTCTTTTCTCGCAGGATTAGCTGAAGAAGTTCCAGCAATAATCATTTTTAATATACGAGAAAAACGAATCTAATTAACATTTCTCTCTCTATTTCTAATTCGTAACATAAATTTCGACGAAATGATTTCCCTCTTTTCTCGCAGGATTAGCTGAAGAAGTTCCAGCAATAATCTCCCCTTCGTCCTTTGAACGGATAAAAGCCGGACGATTAACGTGTGGAACAACGCCCTTTCTTTTCTAGTTGGCAAGAATTAAACGGTCCGACAAAGTTCCACGCGCGAGCAAGATCGAAGAAGAGAAGCGGGAGAAGGTAAGGAGCAAAAGAAGCATCAAGGCAGACCCTCTCTCTCTCTCTCCGAGTACGGAGTTCTTAGAGGGAACGCGATGTTCCTGGAACTCTTGCCATCGTGGCCCTCTTCAGCCTCGGCTTCACGGTTCAGCTAACTTTCTGCCGGCTCTTATTACGAACAGCTCGACGCTTTATCAGACTCGCGTATATAGGTACGTACTATACCTAGACTTTTTCTACTCTTCCTACATCTTCTTGCCGCGTTTCCTGTTCCTCTCTATCTCTATCTTCGATATCTTCTTCCCCGAAATTCCTATCGTCTCTTTACTCTCTGCTGTCGAACTTGTCCGAGCTTTGAAGATATCGATATCGGAATTTCAACGTGCGAGCAGGACGCGTAAGAATATCCTTCTTGAATAAAATTTGTCTGCACACTCGGTGAAAATCTGGATGAAAAATTTGGAACAGGAAGAAATTTCGATTGCAGGTGTAGCAACGTGGCAATAAATTCGATCCTGACGTGTATGAATAAAGTAATGGTTTCGGTAACATCGCGATCGCTATCGGATCGGTACCATTGACCAAATTATATGGCGCACTTGCCTCCGGTGAAATTCTGCTACAGGCAGAAATAAGCACGCTGTATTGTTGCGCTTTGACTGCGATGTATAATTTAACTGGTTTGAAAAAAAAGGCCACACACCAGGAATATTTTGAACCGTTGCAGGAATTTTTATCAGAGTAGGAGTTATATCACAATTTGTGAAATGTAGGACAAATGTTTTATTTATATGAAGCGAGATAAAACAATTTCATATATTATAACATGTTTTAGTAAATTAAATATAGCTATAGCTATTAGTATACTAATATAATGATGAAGAAAGTTGATCAGCGAAAGGTGAATCATGCAAAATTATAAATATACAAAATTGTAAAAATTGATAACTGAACGCATATATGTGCGTACACTTTGCCTCGCGGAATCCGATGACTGGAAAAGTTATAACTTCCCTGTGACGTAATCTCTCCTATAATCACGAAATTACGCGTAATGTTATTTTTATTTCCGTCGCCATTCGCTATCGCAAAAGCGCGAGAGGTGGAAGGAAATGTCGCGCGTCCGTTGTTATTCCAGTCACTTCCGTTATCTACCTCGATCGCATTACTCGATCCCGCTGACATTAAACCGCGATGTGAATTCATTCGCATAAATACGCAGCTAAACGTGATTAATTAACGCGCCGTGTAGCGCTCGGAGCCGGAGAGTTTTTCATAAGCGTATGTATATACATGTATAGTACCCTTCATAAGTTTGGAAACACCTTATATTTTACAGTTAAAGAATTGCCTGACAGCGATCTGTTATAAATAAAAATATCATTTAAATATTTTACGTTTTATTTTATGTTTTATTTATATAAAAAAATCTGCACAGATTTGTCAAGAGGATCATCTTAATTTAAGAGAAAAATTCTCGAAAGAGAGAAATATTCTTTAATTAGATATTCATGCAAGAATATAAACTTAATAGGATGTTTTTTATCAGTATATTATTTAAAAAATATTAATCGTGATAACAAAAACAGTCTTATAAATGAATAATATATAATTTGTTACTTATTGCATAATACAGTACCCTTCACAAATTTGAAAATACTTTACATTTTACTGTTAAACAATCGCATGGCAGCGATCTGTCATAAATAAAAATGTTATTTAAATATTTTACGATTTATTGATACAAAAAATCTACACAGATCGTTGCCATACGATTGTTTGACTGTAAAATGTAAGGTGTTTCCAAACTTATAGAGGGTTCTGTATATATGTATATACCTACAACATATGTACGCATACATCGCGATGATATCCGTGATTGCGTGATACGTGAGAAGGAACGAACACAAGAATTCTTTTCCGATGATGGTGCAAGCAGATAGTACGCACGATGAAGCTTTTCCATTGTAATTAGATAAGAGAGGGTTATCGACCTCAGATCAGTAACATTCGAAGAGAAACAGGTCTTCCGCGAACGGCGCCTGTGCTCTCCCTGCACATTCACAATCAACATCCTCCACTACATTCATGCAATATATTGCACGTTCGTATATGCATTTGCTCGGGTGCCGTTGCAGCAAAACAGAGAGTGTGCCGTAACCTTGCTTAGAATGCACCAAGGCTACGTAACGTCTCGGCGAAGGTTTTATATCAATTTGCTTACCAGACAATCGCGAAGACCGTGAAGTGATAATCTCGTAGCTTCTCGTAGAGAATTTTACAGATTTATTGCAAAATATCAATTAGCGAAAGATAGAAAAGAGTCCTCGACATTGAAACAAACGACGCCCTTATTGGCTTCAATTTTCATATTCAGATACTCATGTTTGTGTATAGCGCACTGAACAAAAACTTGTCAACTTGACTAAACCTTTCAACTAAATTATTATTTTGTTAGATTGAATTTAAATATTGTTACATGTTCAATTAATAAAACAATTGGCTTTAAATTCACCAAAGAGATTGATGAAATTAATGTTCGCTTATCTACTTTTGTTATTTCGATTTAAAAGCACGCTTGTATTATTATTATGACACGATTACAATCGCTGATTTAACAAATTTATTATAATTCACATCTCAAAATTATTCATGCAATTTCAAGACGACAACTGGTTTACGTCATGGTAAAATTATTGAACTTCACTGATAATCAACCTCGATTCCGGGCTACTCATTAATATTTATTAATTTCTTTGTAATTTATAATTACCTGCCGATCATAAAAAAAAAAAATTATTTAAGTATCTTCTTTTATTTTATTTTTTTCTTCTTTCTTTGGTTTACTTCATAAACGACAACGATGACGACTTTATAACGATGAGTTATTTTTTTTTTGCGAGTAATCCTTCCGCAACCGCGACGTTTACCTTGAAATGGTAGCTTTTTCATTAAAAGACGAGGCGAGATTTCCGCGAATCGACGATCCGCGAAGAACGACTCAGTCATTTCGATTAATAGACTTGTGAAGTCATATTAAATTGCACTTAGGTCAGGCGTGCATCTTCTAGGAATAATTTTCCTAGAACTACCTTTCAGAACGTAGCTGGGGCTTTCTCGAACGATCTAATGAAAGAAAAAAGCGATTGGTCTCATCGAGAAGTGCGATGATCCTTGTGGAAATTTTCTCGTGTAAAAGAATTGCGCGTTACGTTATTTTCATACACCTGTTACCATTTTGCATTATTAATTAGCAATTTTCCATTTACTCGTTCATAGAATAATCCGCGAGATTCCGATGCAAATGATGAAAATTTTATTCCAGTTATTTAAAACCGTTGATTTAAAATACAAATAAAGTGACTCGATTATTTACATAATTTGAATGACAAGCACGATGAGAATTATGAAGAAATTTAACATTAAGAAACTCATTCTATCAAACTGGCGACTAACAGAGCGTTAAATAAAGATACGCGAAAACTTTTTATATATAAGATTGACGAATGGAGAAATAAATGTAAATCAAATCTCTTGACATTTTAAATGTCACAGATTAATAAGAGATATATATATATATTCTCTAATATTTTGTCTCGTATCCTATCCAATTCTAAATTAGCTACACGTAGGCGTTATTTGCTGCAAAATAGCAGACATTAGGTACGCAATGGATGTATATATAACTGCACCACGATATTTGCGAGGAAATAGCAGTATCATGACTGGCTCTGATCATAATGCGCAGGAAAAAACATCACTTTCACAAGAAACTCGCGATTAGTCAGCTTTAGATCCGCTCGACCCTATCTAACCGGCCACAAAGAAATTGCACAAGTTCGATTCATTCAAAAATGTTTTCCGAGAAAGAGAAAGAGAGAATGAAAGAGAATAGTACTACGCAGGATAACTCCCATTATTCGCATATCTGCGCAGGTTTCATGCTGCAGATATTCCTATTCACGTGTTCTTAGTATCTCAGAATACTGTTCAATAGTTGATTTAATAGATCCTGGAAAGCAATAAGTATCCAGCTTCGAGTCGCGAGATGATACTTTCCGCGGTATTAAAAGATAAACTGCCTAACATCTATTTACACATAGTTCATCGCTGTACAGTTAACTGCACGAGGAAATGTGTAATTAGAAACCGTCGTGTAATGCTTGGCGGTACATAAGGAATTCCTTTACTATGATAATGTAAGTCATAACATTAGATTTTTATCAGCAACAAAATAACGTTGGATAGTTAAAGATTATGTACAAAAAAAGGGATAAGAATATTATTAAAATAAATATATTATAAAACGTACCTAGCTATGACACATAAAGTACATTTAGTACGATTATGTTCATTGAATTTATTTTTAATGATTAATCAAAGCGACACATTATAATCTTTTCGCTAATTTACCCGATTTCCTAGTTTTAGGACGAATAAAAATGGGTTATCTCGATTAAATAATAATAAAGAAATTAGGAACTCCTATTTATTGTACATATACGCGTCCTGAATATTGTTAGCGAGATAATTATTAAATCTAACGCGTAATTATCCATATTAGCACACAAATAGAGCTCGATATTAATTAATCAAATGAACAAACCAAAACGAGAATATTAATTGATAATATTACAATTAATGCAGAAGTACCTTCGCGCATATTCGCATGCGAGACTTTTAAAATTTGAATCCACCGATTCACATGTTAACATGTTAATTAGTAAGGTATCGATCGAAGCATTTATCGAATTATGTGCGTGAATTATATTTATAATACAAGCACGCGCGCGCAATCGGATTTTCAATAAAATGGCTCGATATTATATTTCAACGTCGGCGTACAGAAAAAGATTTTACGCTGCGGTGAGTGTACTTGCGATCGACGTACGAGTCGTTTTTTTTTCTTCGCGGAATACGCGCGCGTTAATGAGGGAAGCAGCAGTGCAAACAATTTCCATGAAAATTGAGCGAAGATGTTGTTTTTGCCACGCAGATACATCCCGACTTCCTTGATCGAGAGCCACCATTCGTTAAAGTCAAGGCAATCATAATTGCGCCTTCTAATTGTCGGATATAAAAATTGCTTTTTCCTAGTATTATATATTAATCTTGAAAATACGCGCGCGTGATTTTAATTTATAATTACGATCCTATCAGGGTTAAGGAAATCAAAGGAATTAGAAAAATAAAATTTCGCAATTTTTGCAAT